GATATTTTGGAGATAATCAAGGCCCTAGGGTTCAACAACCAATGCGACCTCGCCCTCGCCGTCTTCCACTGCCTTCGAACCACCCACTCCTCTCATTCCACCACTTCTGCAATCCCCGTCATCATCAAAATCCTCGCCAAGGCTGGGCGCGTCTCCTCCGCCGCCTCCCTGCTTCTCGCTCTCCAAAACGACGGCGTCCAGATTGACGTCTACGCCTACACTTGCATGATTAGCGCCTACTCCAGTAGCGGCCGCTACAGGGACGCCGTCAACCTCTTCAACAAGATGCAAGAAGACGGCTGCGCCCCCACTCTCATCACCTACAACGTCGTTTTTAACGTTTACGGCAAAATGGGCATGCCCTGGTCTAACGTTACTGCTCTCCTTCATGCCATGACCTCGCGTGGGGTTGCCCCTGATTTGTATACTTACAATACGCTTATAAGTTGCTGCCGCCGCGGTTCTCTCTACGAAGAAGCTGTTCAATTGTTTCAGGACATCAAGTTGGCTGGTTTTACGCCTGACAAGGTTACCTACAATGCCTTATTGGATGTTTTTGGCAAGTCTAGACGCCCCAAGGAGGCTATGCAGGTTCTCCGAGAGATGGAAGCCAATGGCTTTTCTCCCACCAGTGTAACTTACAATTCCTTGATTTCGGCTTATGCTAAGGGTGGCTTGTTGGAGGAGGCTTTGGAGCTTAAATCCCAAATGGTGGAGAAAGGGATTAAGCCTGATGTCTTTACCTACACCACCCTTATGTCTGGATTTGAGAAGGCCGGGAAAGATGACTTTGCCATTCAAGTTTTTCAAGAAATGAGAGAGGTGGGATGCAAACCTAATATTTGCACCTTCAATGCCCTCATTAAGATGTACGGCAACCGGGGAAAGTTTGTGGAAATGATGAAAGTCTTTGATGAGATCAGGGTGTGCAATTGCTCCCCTGATATTGTTACTTGGAACACTCTTTTGGCTGTTTTTGGACAGAATGGAATGCACTCCCAAGTGTCTGGAATATTTAAAGAAATGAAGAGAGCAGGGTTTGTCCCTGAGAGGGACACTTTCAACACTCTAATTAGTGCCTACAGCAGGTGTGGCTCCTTTGACCAGGCAATGGCTGTTTACAAGAGCATGCTTGAAGCTGGAGTGGTGCCCGATCTTTCTACCTATAACGCTGTTTTGGCAGCATTGGCTCGAGGAGGCCTTTGGGAACAAGCTGAGAAAGTCCTTGCTGAGATGAAGGATGGTCGGTGTAAACCTAATGAGCTCTCGTATTCTTCTTTGCTTCATGCTTATGCCAATGGCAAGGAGATTGAAAGGATGAATGCTTTTGCCGAGGAGATATACTCTGGTTCTATTGAAACTCGTGCTGTTCTTTTGAAGACCCTTGTTCTAGTTAACAGCAAGAGTGATCTGCTGATGGAAACAGAACGTGCCTTTTTGGAGTTGAGGAAGAGAGGAATTTCGCCTGACATAATTACTCTGAATGCAATGCTTTCGATATATGGGAGGAAGCAGATGGTGGCCAAAGCCAACGAGATTTTGAACTTCATGCACGAGAGAGGATTTACTCCGAGTTTGACTACATATAATAGCTTGATGTATATGTACAGCCGTTCTGAAAACTTCCAAAAATCTGAAGAAATCTTGAGGGAAGCTCTGGAGAAAGGTATGAAACCTGATAGGATTTCATACAATACTGTTATTTATGCGTATTGCAGAAATGGTAGGATGAAGGAGGCTTCGCGGATATTTTCCGAAATGAAAGATTCTGCACTTGTTCCGGATGTTGTAACTTACAACACATTTATTGCAACATATGCTGCTGACACAATGTTTGCCGAGGCTATTGATGTAGTTCAGTACATGATCAAGCGGGGATGTAAGCCAGACCAGAATACTTACAACTCCATTGTTGATTGGTATTGTAAGCTCAACCAGCGGGATGAGGCCATCAGTTTTGTTAAAAACCTTGGTAATCTTGACCCGCATGTTTCCAAGGACGAAGAAAGTAGGTTACTAACGAGAATAGCAAAAATGTGGCCATAAATTGTTTCATGACTCCCTGGATGTAATATTGGAATTTAGACTGTTTCTTGGCTTCTAGTTTTTAGATGCCATTAGTATTTTTTTCCTCCTTAGTTGCCATGTTGTATAATATTTGGGCATGGAGGTTGGCATTCACCGCGTGTAGTTGTAAATGATGGTATTCCTATGCTGGGGTTTATCTGCAGAAATAGGCAGCAGTGTGTCTCCTCAGCGATGCTTGCAGGCGGGGTTGTACAGAAAGATGGGAAATTAAAGAATAGTAAGAGAAGGGTAATGGTTGGTTTTGAATGTCAATAACATGTAGAATAAACTATATAGCAACGACATCAAGAAAAATAACACGTGCAGGGAAGGCTTAGGCTTTTAGTATTGTCGTAGATTCATTTTGTAACATAATTTCCTCTTTGTTTGTTGTTGTTGTAGTGTGTTCGTCAGCAAAATATATAAGTTGTTATGTTTTTGTTTTGAGAGCTCTGTTAGAGATTATTCCTGCAGAGGGACTAGCGCTGTTTGTCTGAAGGGCAAAATTTACCGTTTAATTATTCTCCCTCCGAATTCCGGGCAATTCTCTATCAAAAATGTTTTTGTACACAGCTCTTGAATTTGGAGAGTATTTTTGAAATACATTATTCAAAAAATAAATCTTATTCTTTATTATTGCATGACAAAAAAATGGACGCCATTGAACACATGGGAAGCTTCCCATCTAAAAGGTAGGAAATAAAGAGTTGTGGTATGGTATGTGGGTGACATCTTTGTTTGATTGATAGTCAGAGTTTAAATTATTTTCGCTGAGTAGATAATTCACAGTCAATAATTTTTAGCAAGGGGGAAGAAAAAAATATGAAAATTCATAATTACATTCTATTTGAATTCTTTAAAATATGTGACAGAATTATCCCTTAAAAAAATATAGAGAGAGATAACTGAAATTAAAGGATGAAAACGTAGTATAACTAGAATATAATAGAGATCCGAGTTGGGCCCTCAGAAGCAATTTGACTTGACATTTGTTCTATGAAGTGGTGATCTTAAAATTCAATTGGCAAAAAGTTGCTTTTGAATTTGAGTGGGAGCCCCTCTATGTTGACTTTGACTAGGCCTATACCTTCTCTTCCGGTTACATATATATATTTTTTTTAAGGTTTTCGTCTCCTGTTTTTTCACTTCCATCCTTCTCTCCCTCTTCCAAGTTTGCAAGAGAGAAAGAATAAGATGTCTACTTTGGCTGTCCTATCTGCGTTATTTCTCCTTCTTCAATGTCCTCTCTTATCCCTCTCAACCAACTCTGAAGGTATGTTCCGCTTATTCTTTTCTCAACTTTTTCTTTGGGATCGTAGCCATAAGATAGCATCCAACATCATCAATATTCCCTTTCCCTCAGATCATCTGATTCCTTATTATTTATTTTGTACAATTTGTGTTCCAAAACCTAGCACTTGACTATGAAATTGGGTTTCCAAATTTACTTTTGACTTTTGAGCTGATGTGTTGTGTAGGAAAAGCTCTTAATGCTTTGAGAAGAAGACTTTCTGACCCCAACAACGTGCTACAGAGCTGGGACCCAACTCTCGTTAATTCTTGTACTTGGTTTCATGTTACCTGCGACTCCAACAATCACGTCATTCGCTTGTAACAATTACCTTCTTTTCTTTTTGTGTTACACATTCATCACGCTTACTGGGTTTAGGATTGAGTTGCCTTCTAATCACTTGTTTGGTCTTTGAATTTCAGAGACTTGGGCAATTCTAACATCTCTGGAACCTTGGGCCCAGAACTTGGCCAGCTACCCCACCTTCAATACCTGTATTTATGGCTTTCCCTTGTCTAATCAAATAAATATCTTATTCTTTGCCACGTGAGTGATTATGAAATTCTTCATTGCAGGGAGCTCTATAGGAATAACATAAGTGGCAAGATTCCTGAAGAAATTGGTAACTTAAAGAACCTTATTAGTATGGATTTGTATGATAACCAATTAGAAGGGAACATCCCAAAGTCATTTGGCAAGTTGAAGTCACTTAAATACCTGTAAGCATGTATTTGTTGATTGGCCAAAAGCTTAAACTGAACATTAGTTATTGAATCAAATGATGTGTGAATTGTGTTTTATTTCGCTCATTCTTTCGCGTTCATGATAATATAGACGATTAAACAACAACAAGCTCACAGGATCAATCCCAAGAGAGCTCATTCATCTTAAAAATCTCAAAATCTTGTAAGATCCTCTTTCTATACATTTTATCTTATGCTTTATTTTATCTTTCATTTCGTGCTTTGGAATGGAGAAAATCCAAGTTCAATTTCATTCTTTTTTTGTTAATGATTTATCAGTTAATTTGAAACCTCGTTTGTGCAGTGATGTTTCTAATAATGACCTCTGTGGAACAATACCAGTAGAAGGCAACTTTGAATCCTTCCCAATGGAAAGGTATAATATCTGTTGCAATTCTTGCCTCATTAGTCTTGTCGTTATAACATATTAACATATTCCATTGGTGTTTCAGTTTTGAGAATAACAAATTCAGCGGCCCAGAACTGAAAGGACTGGTTCCTTATGATTTTGGATGCTGAAGAATGGTAGAATTCGTCATTTCATTACTCTTGCCTTCTTAACTTGGGCAGCAAGTGGTATTTGCCACAATTCGAATGTCGATAGATAAAATGAATTTATCATCGGTGACATGCCTCGTCATTAAAATACATGCTTGTTATAATACTAATAGTTTATTTGCAATCCCTCCATGTTATCTTGCAACTAAGTCAAAATTCTTCAGAATGATTTATTTCGCAAAATCCTACCAATTACGTAGCAGTTCTACAAATGCGCCGGAAAGTTTTTTCCTGCCATCCATTATTTCGTTGTCTTCACGGTAAAATTAAGAGGAGAGATATTATTCACTTTGAGTTTTAACTTTCACAATTTTACGTTTAGGCATCACTTAAAAAGATTTCTACTCAATAAACTACATATATATATTTTTATAAATTTTTGTCTCTCCTTCTATTCTATATCCCAATAAAATCGTATTTAAATAACTCATACAATCAAGCATAATTTAATGAGTAGGTGGCTAAATTTTAATTTGTAAACTTCGATGGAGTCAAAATTGAAATAATTTAACAGGTTTGTGAAGGTATTCATTTTATACACCTACCTAAAAGGGAGAATGGATACTCAAACTAAATATGGCACCCAAATTAAAAATTATAGAAATCAAATTGTTATGATTTTAATTTATTAAATAACTAATATTTTAACATATACATTCTATCCTATCAATAAAAATACACATTTTATAAGTTAAATATTTATCATATATAAATAAATTATATAATAAAATAGCATTTTAACTTGTATATTTTATTTGATAAATATTTATTATTGAAGTGAATGTTAGATTACAAAAAGGGGAGTTGAATTATTTTCTATTTAAAAATATACTTTTTATGAAAATCTGTTTTTCAGAAGACAAGTCTTTTTAATATTGATACTTGGAGTAATTATTTGAAAATAGTTTTTGAGTTTACTTGTTTGTAAAATAGATTATACAATAATGTAATAATGGACATAGTAAGTTAAATAAATAAGTAAAAAGATAGGAAGAGAGAGATTGAATACAATATTTTAATTATTTATATTGATTCATTTCAATCGAGCTACATCCACTTCTCACACAACTTTATGAGATTTTTCACTAAATCACAACTAATTACAGTTCAAACTTAGTCACCTGCTGATACAAACCAATACTACACAATCACCTACTGTTAGTAGTAAACACTCAACCAACTAATAAGATTTCTTCACTCAACCACCTATTGAGAAAACAATCTCACAACCACTTTCTATGAGATTACACAACACTTGTTGTGAGTCCTTCTACTTCCCTACACCATTGCACTCTCAATTCTACACAACACTTTTTGTGTTCTTCCAGATTACAAAGATCACAGGTAACTCTCCCACAGTGGAGTTTCCATAAGAAGGTTTCACACTTTTTATCTATTACAAAATAGATATACAAATATGAGGTGGAAATCTTTGAAAATTTCAGTGTATGAAATAAGGATTATAAGTTGTTAAGCTTGGGTAATCTCTCTTTTTCTTTGTTCTTACTTCAAAAAGTGTCCATTGCCTTCCCTTTATAGGCCTCCAACAATAGATTTGTTGTGACTTGCTTGTTTTTTAAGCTAGATGCTAACCTCACTGTACTTTACTTTTTTTTGGTCTTGTTAGATTTTTATAGATGAGATGCCTTTTGAATAAGTATTCATTTTCGGCCTTCTAAACAAGGCCTTCAATATAAGTCTTATGAGAATTATTATTTTAATTGAAGTCTTTTGATAGACAACTTGAAGTGTTGATCTCCTAAACTAGGTCTTCAAGACATTTCTTCTAAGAATAAATGTTTAACTTGAAAATTTATGATAAAAAAAAACTTAAAAATACTTATCTTCATGCTTGGGAATAGATATTTTCATTTCTTCTAATAAACAATCCTTGATCATTATGAATTGGTTTCATGTTACTTGGACCTATGTAGCACAAGATATTCCCAAAATATTATAGCAACATTATAATGTCCTAGACAAATCAACATTTTCATATTGTAGACATAATTTTTCCATGATAGAGACCTTACTAGCTCATAACTTTTCATCAAAGTTGTAGAAATTTTTTTTATCTTTCCATAGCCACCAAGTTTGGCTAAAACACAAGTCTATAAATCCATATATGCTCAAAATACTACATTGTGTCAGTGTTGCAACTCAAAATGACGTTTTCATCTTGATTTCCATATTTGTCCATGATTTGGGATTTTTTAGTGCACGAGTTCTTCATAAAGGTTGTAGACGATTACTTTTGTTTTTCATAGCCACAAAGTTTGTCTCAAGATCATATCTACAACTCAATATATGTGCAAAACATATCAACTATGTTTTATAGTCAAGATCAACATCATTTGTAACTTCTTTTGCAATTTTGCATGTGATCTAATCTGTATAAGCTCTTGATTTCTTCATGAAGAATGTAGATACTTCTTTAGGCTTTTTATAGCCACCAAAATCTCCTCAAATGAATTCCTAGAGCTCAAGATATCACACAATTGGACTTCATAATCTTTTGAAGATTTTCACAATTGAATGTATAGCTGAGACATCCATCCTAAGTCATCTTGAATCAATATTGAGTTTACTTTAATTGATATGTTAAATACACTTAAGCAAATTCATTAGTAAAATAAATACTTAAAAGACTTATGACTTTTGTTCATAAGGTTTGTCATAATTAAAACATAAAGGGTAGACTCAACAATTATAGATAACTCTAATTTATAATAAATTATATATAAATAAATAAATTATATTTAAAATTAGTATAAATAAATACTGTTAAATATATAAATTATATTATAAATTTAAAATAAATAAGTATATTATTTTTTAGTAATCTTTTGTATATTAAAAAAATATTTTTAGCTATTGATAACTTATTTTAAAATCTTAAAACCTAACTTATTAATAAATTTAATAAATGTAAATTAAAATATGATTTAATTAAATAAGAAATTAAAATAAGATTTAAATATTTTTTAATCCTTTAAATTTAAGGTAAATTTATTTTTGATCTTTCAAATTTAAAAGTATTAGTTTTCATCCATGTAATTTTTAAAAATATTATTTTATCTCTCAAGTTGTCAATAATAATATATTGAAAATAAAAAATTAAGATAATTATATATTAATAACTGAATCTAATGTTAATAGAAATACAAGTAGAGATTAAAAATATATTTAAACATTAAAAGAATGATAAAAACAAAAACGTTAATAATCCCTAAAATAATCGAAAAAATACGCCTTGAGAACAGAAAGGAAGAAGGAAGTTGAATCGGGTGAGAGCATGCACAATTTAGAGGAAGAACGGCTTCGCCAGTTGCCACAGCATAACCGCCATCATGGATCAGAGAGAAGGAAGCATAGCAGATGCATGTATGTCACAATGCCTATAATAAACTACGTAAATTTTCTCCATTATCTATACTTATTATAAATAGAATATATTTTGGTAATTAATTTTTATTTTTATTTTTAATGGATTATTATATTTTTTAAATGTAAAAAAAAATATCTTTTTATATTTTTATTGAAAAATTATTCGCATTTTTTAATATTTATTTATGTATAATTATCACTAAATATCTTGGTCTATCTAGTTAGTTCTTATAAATGAGTTCTTTGGATTGTGGTTTTGCTTGATGTTTTCTTTTATTTAATATATAACGGAATCATACGTCACAAACAAATTATTCTATCTGCATTTTAAGTGTTTTTATCTGTCTGAGTTCTCTTCTATAATGCCTCTTTCATCAATTTTTTTATCTCTTAGAAGTTTAAATGGTCACACAAAAATAACAGTAAGACAACACAAAGAAATCTAAGAACACGAACAATATAAGTAGAACCTTTTATAAATCTATTATTTTTGCTTCTCTTATTCTCGTTAGTATAAAATGATTGAATTATGAATTAACGTACATTATAATTACTAAGTATATCATATATAGTGTATTTTTAAAATTTTATTTAAGAATATATGTAATAAAACATGATTATTTTTTAAAAAATAATACCATTTGATTATTATGTTTCAAAAAAATTAAAATAATCATAAAGAAAAATAAAATTTGAAAAGAGATAAGCAAATGAAAAATATTAAATAAAAAATAAAGTAATAAATTAATACAGAATTTAAAAAATGCATTAAAAGTGTAATGTATTAATTATGGAAAAAGAACTTGTGTTTCATTAAATTAAGAGAATATATATTAATTAAGAATATTTTACTATAAAAATAATTAATATATCAAACACTATGAATCAATTTTTATATAAAGAAACAAGTAATTATTTTAAGTTAAATTTTATAAATAAAAACAAAAATAATATAAATTTTAATTATATATAATAAACATATAAGAACATTTATACATGCTAAAATAATGATTATATATATATATATACTATGTTTAAATATATAAATTATATTTTAAATTTATGATAAATAATTAATATTATAATATAAAAATATTTTTATTTATTGATAATTAATTAAAAATATTAATATTTAATTCATAAATAATTATGAAAAATAAAAATTGAATAACATAAAAAATTAAAAGAATCTTTACAAACCCTCACATAAAAAAAACCTCCAAATATTATCGCTCAATTCAGCTTTATGTATTTTATGTTAAATTTATTTTATTAAAATTACTTTAAATTAAATTTATCAACATTTTATATTTCTTTTGTATTTTCACATGTAATATTTTTTATTGAGACACTTTTTTTTTTTACTTTTATAAAATTAAAGACTTCTGCGCATCAACACAACACACACAATGTTAAAAAAAAAACTATATAAACTAAAAATATTAAATACTGTAAGTATAGAAATTAAAATTATCTACTTGAAATTACATGAATTAAAAAGATTGAGAAAAATAAATATAAATATTAAAAATGTTTGTTTTAAATTATATAAATTAAAAGATAAGGTAAGGATTTTAAAAAATATATATATTTTAATTATTAGAACATTTAATACGTAGTGGACTTTTAATGCTGAATTTATTAAAGACAATTAATTATTTTGTTTGAATTTGACATTAATGATTTGTATAGTTAAATAATAATTTATTGGGCGGTGTGAACAAGGATCTAAAAATCCGATTTGCAATAAATTGCATTTTGACGAATCCTCTATATATAAACTTTGACTTGGCCTCACTTTGTTCATCCCTCTCTTGTACTTGTGTTCTTCTTACAAACCAAGAATAAGATGTCTACTTTAGTTTTCCTGTTTCTCTCATTTCTCTTCCTCCAACGTCCCCTCTCAACCCTCTCAAACTCCGAAGGTGAGTTTCATTCATTCTTTGCACAAAACAAACGAAACGCTTTGCATTTTAAACCTAAATCGCTTTCTCTTTGTAGGAGACGCACTCATAGCTTTCAGAAACGGAATTTCTGACCCCACCAACGCACTTGAGAGCTGGGACCCAACGCTCGTTACTCCTTGTACTTGGTTTCATGTTACGTGTGATGACAATAATAACGTCGTTCGCCTGTAATGTAACATTCCCCCTTTTCTTTTTCTTTTTTTTTTTCTAAACATTTTTTTTTTTTAAATTTCTTCATCATAATTACTTGTTTGTTCTTTGGAATTTTAGAGACTTGGGCTTATTTAACTTGTCTGGAACTTTGGCCCCACAACTTGGCCAGCTACCCCACCTCAAATATTTGTATGTATAGTTTTCCCTTACCTTGTTTTTTAACGTCTAGGGTGTATAATTTGTGAATTGTGCCTTTAATTTTCACCTACTGTTACTGTTAGTCTAAAATTTATAACACTATCATCATTCTAATAACTTGTTATCGGATGACACGGTAAAAAGCTTTGGCTTTCTTAGTACATTATTATTAAATATGTTACTAGACGAGTGATTACGAAATTCTTCATTGCAGGGAGCTCTTTGGGAATAAATTAAGTGGGAATATTCCTCAGGAACTTGGTAACTTGAAGAGCCTTACTAGTATGGATTTGTACAATAACCAATTGGAAGGGAACATCCCAGTGTCATTTGGCAATTTGAAATCACTTAGATTCCTGTAAGCATGTTTATGTTGGTTGGCTAAGAAGTTCAAATGAACACGAGTTGTCGAATTAAATGATATCTAATTGTATTTTTATTTCACTCATCCTTCTGCATTAATGATATAGACGAGTAAACAACAACAAGCTGGCAGGAATAATCCCAAGAGAAGTCCTTAATCTTAATCTCCAAGTCTTGTAAGATTTTCTTTCTATACATTTTTTCTTAAGTTTTATTTTATTTTTCTTTCTCGTGGGGGAAAGGTTTGCAAGATCAAATTTCGTTATTTTTTTTATTTATCAACTAATTTGAAACCTCGATTGTGCAGTGATTTTTCTAATACTAATCTCAGAAAACCAGCAGTAGATGACAACTGAGTCATTCCCGATGGAAAGGTAATATATATATGCTGCTATTTAACTTGCAATAAAGTTTTTCGTATCAAACAAGTCGAAATCTCAAATTCATCTAGCAGAGTCAAACCAATATATATTGTTCCCATGCACTATGTTATGAACTTTTGTTGAATCCCAACACCAAAATCCATAAAATATCAAATGCCTTCGTTGAATACACATGCATCACTTTCACCAGGTTCTATCTTATTAAGCTTCTTAACAAGTGTCATTTGTCTTGCCAAACTTGTTTAAAGTCTTTGTAGTTTAAAAGGTTTATTTGCAAATAAAAGGTTTATTGGTACTAAATCAATTTTAGTAAAATTGATCTTCCTGAAAATAACACTTGATCTCCTACTCTTGTGTAAATTTCTCTTCTTATAGTAGAGCTAATCAAACTTGACTTCATAACTTGTACTCTATGTCCCAAATCTTCACTTTTTTTAATTTGAAGTTAGAGTAATTCAATTTCTTGGTTATTGTTAGATTTACTATATATTTATCCTATTTACGTTTCAGGTTTGCGAATAACAAATTTAGCGGAAGAAAGGACTGATTTCTCGTGAATCCTCAAATAATAATAATAATAATAATCATTAAAAAAATATCTTTAACAAGACATTGTGAAATAAGAAAAGTGTATGCTAAACATGTCATACTGAAATATTGATATATTTAATAAATAAACGAACTGTGTGATTCATACATTAAATTTTTTTTTTTAAATATTCTTCATTGACAAATAATTGAGAACAACTATAACAAAATTGAACGAGTCTTGGTGATAAATATTGAGAATGATCATAACAAATTATTAGAAGTAAAAAACTAATCGATATATCAACGAAAATTACTATAAATCGATTTATTTTAAATTTTATTATATTCAAATCAAACAACCCAAATAATTAAAGAAAACTAGTATGTTTGTTTTAAATTTTTTTCCCTAAAAGTGTTTTTTTTATAAATAAAATAAAAACTTTTTTTTAATTACTTTTTAATATGTTTGTCTAAATTTTTTTTAAAAAAATAAGTAGTTTTTTTAAAGAGAAATGTCTATCTGCTTATTAAAAATAGTTTTGTTTTAAAAGGTACTTATTTAAAAATATTGTTTTGACATTAATTATTTTAAACATAAAAATAATATTAATTTTGCCTTTAATTAAAAGTATTTTTATGTGATTTGACTTTCTTTTTTTTATTTTATTTTTTTCTTATTTTGTATCAATGGTTTAAGACTTCACTTTATATTAATTTCGTTTGACTACAAAGTAAGATAAGTCTAGTGAATGATCGTTTTTGTCAAGGATCAAACTTGAACACCTTTAAAATAATTTGACATTTGATTCAATATATTAATCACTTATTTCTAATTTCTTAATCTGTGTGATTTGACTTTTGTTCTACGCAACTGGAGATCATAAAATTCAATAAGGTTTCAAGAAAGGTTTATTTCTTTAAAAAAAAAAAATCATACATTAATTGTTATTCTCTTGCCTTTTTAATGCATTGCTATTGGATTTAATTTTTCTAAAGTGAAAGAGAATGTTTTAGAGGATAAATTATACCTAGTTGTTGATATATATATATATATATATATA